ATGGTGTCCCAAGTTACCGGTTTATTTTAGAATCCCAAATCGAGAAGATTAACTCTATTTATGGTCCGCGAACACAGAAGATCGGGTAAGAAATTCTGTTAACCCAGGAGAAGGTGTGAGGCACTCCCGAGTTCCGTGGTTTTAGCACGATCGCTTATCAATTAATACTTGGCCTAATTATCTGACTTATTGCATATCTACATCATATTCTGCATTTTTACTTTTTAATCGCTTTTAATTATTTTTAGCCCATTTAGTATTTATGGAATTTATTTGAACAAGTCGCGATGTCGCGCATTCGTTGTTTTGGTACATATTGTAAATCACGCCACGTGAAACGTACCCGTGATTCACAATATGTTTATTTTAATTATTTGAAGTTGGGGTCAAGTCGCGTGAAACACGCATGTGAGTTGGGATTTACGTATCATGACTATGCCACAGGAACCGTACCCATAGTCACAATGATTTATTATTAATCGCACCTAAAGCAAGCTACGATGTTTATTCTTCCTAACTTGAAATTATCGTTATGCATAAGTATTGGAACTTATTGTGGAAGAAATAAATCAGATTTATTATGGACAGATGGGCTAGCTTCAAATTAGCTCTTAGGGCCTGGAAGAATTTATTTATTTGGTCCAAATGTTATATCACTACTATAGTTCAAATTGTTAAAACTTATCGGACAAAAAAAATGGAACTTATATTCTTGAGGTTCTTGGTATACATCAAAATTTAGAAATTTTATTCAATTGTAATATAACAACAAGAGAAAACTAATAGGCCACTAATCACACACAAAAAAAAAATTATACTGTCAAGGCACTAATAAAGAAGAAGAAGAGTGGACCTCTCTTTTACTAAATTTCTTTTCTGCTGCGTACAATGATATGGAAGCTCCTGAAGCAGAACTCTCGGAACGAGCCATCAACCATGACCTCGAACCGGCAAACTCGAACATCACCTTACTCTAGCGATGGTTTTGGGACTAATTTTCAACATGTTTCTATGAAATTATCTTGGCTGAAATTTTGGTATTAAAGGGTGGTGAAAGAAGGAGAAAGAATGACACAAATAGAAATTCTCTTAGCGTAGCGGAAGAAAAAATAATTCTCTCAATTCCCTCCTTTCTTTTTTTCTCTCCTTCTCTCCCTTTTCCCCCTCACATTTTTCTTCTATTTATAGAAAAAATTTCGGATTTTTTTCCAGATGTTTTATTTTATTTTATTATTTTATTATTTTTTAATTAAAAAGAATTCCCACTTCCCATTTTCCTTCTTTTTTAAAAAAAATAATTTCCACTTTCCTTTACTTTTATGTTTTAATTTCTAACTTTTTTACTTTATTTATATTTAAATTCCCACTTTTTTATTTTTCTTTTTTTATTTTTCACTTATTTTACTTTTTTTTAAATTTTAATTTCCACTTTCTTTCACTTTTTTTAAAAAAATTTCAGCTACCTTTACTTTTATTTTTTAATTCAACTTTCTTTTACTTTTTATTTTATAAATTTCCATATTTATTTACTTTTATTTTTTTAATTTTTCATTTTCTTTTACTTTTTATTAAATAATTTCCACCTACTTTTACCTTTTACTTTTTAATTCTATACGTCTACTTTTTCAATTTTTTATTCAAATCCTAAAATTTTAAAAAATATTAATAGTAATAATTGACCTTTTAAATTATTTTTAATTTTTACCCTATATATAAAAAAATATAACAAAGCTAAAAAATATATATTAAATTTTTAAAAATATTTACACAGTAGAATGTGATAAAAATTCAAATATAGTGAAAAATTAGGTGCTCACATATATAATATTAGAAAAAGTAAAAAAGATTTTTTTATAATTTAGAGGATAAAATAGTATTTATCTACTAGAAAGTTTGAGAAATATAATTGAGTGACTTTCTAGGTGTTGTAGACATAGTTAAGTGACTTTTATGTTACAAACAAAAGAAATACAAATTTACTAAGTAATTTAAGATAATTGAGTGACTTTCTGAGTAATTAACTCCTTAATTTTTGGTGAGATAAGTAAAAATAGACCAAGAATTTAAGTTAGTAATTGGTCTAAACTCTCTCTAATGCACATGGTTGAATGAAGGATCGGATCACATCAGAATATATTACGTATATGCAATCTTATAATACATTCTGCTATAAATTATTTTTACGGCTCGAACTTATAATCTCTTTTGTCCTTTTACCCCACAACCCCCCTTTCTACAAGTTAAAGGTGATAAGTATCCATACTTTGCATCTTCCCTAGAGTGCTGGAGTTTTAAAAAATTGAGGATGAGGTGTTTGAGTTAATGCAAATGCCCCAAAAGGAGACAGAGTCATGTGAAAGTTCACATTAGTTTGCTGGTAATAAGGCAACCTTGAAAGCAAGGCAAGAAACATAACATGGCTTCCCCTTATATTCAGTGGCTTATGTTCTAAAGTTTGTTAGGCCAGCTATCATGTGATTTTGTATGTCCATTATTATTAGCCTCACAAAATTACCTAGACCTAACTCTACTCTACCTTCAACTTAAAGCTTTTTTTTGCCTAAAAAGTAAGAACAGTGACGTTGACGGAAGTAAATCCACAACACTAGTAATTAAATACCACAGTGTTTCTTTGACTCTCTTAATTAAGTATATCGTAACAGTGAAATCAATCATCATATGATGCATATATAACACGATAGAATTGTGCATTTCATCGCATAAGATTCTCAAATCAACTCCAATTATTATCTGTGATCCATTTTCATTCTCTTTTATGCTCGAGAAAGAAAATCAAGAAAGATAACTTGCTTGTCTTCATAATAATATATCCCTTTTTATACGTACATGAAGTCATTCGTGATCTTATATCCCTCCCACTCTTCACCATCTTTTCTTCTTCTCATGACGCTAGAATTATCAAGAAACAATATCATATATTTAATAAATTTTTAACCCGGATTCCAGAAAATTAATTAGTAATGGCTTCTTACGTGTATCTCTAAACGTGATTCGAACTCCAAATTCATGAGTTTTAAGGTGAGTCGCTTATTATTTAATTCAATCACTCTCGTCATAAAATTCTCGTACTTACATGGATTGTTCAAAAGAAGTTCTTGTAATACCGTTGACACATTCGGATTTATCCTCGTGAATTTTATAAAAAAACTGAGTCATACTGCCGAACTATGAGTTTAATGTATCTTTTCGAGAAAATACTGTCCTAATTGGGCACCTTCATTTGAGATAATAGAATCTTTTTTATAATAAATACTTGTGATGCTATGGGCGGTGGGAAGAAGGAAAACACACAAAGAGGGAGGTGATTAGTTTAATAATATTTTAAAGTTTATTGTTTTATTTAAGGTGTACTGAGAATAATAACTAGGACAGCATGGAACATGATGCCAGATTATAAAGAAACAATAGTTGGGACATGGTTGCCTTACTTCTTTGGCAACTTGTTCACATGGACTTAGCGGTTCTTTCTGCTTATACTTTATTTTATTTTAATTTGTTTCCCATTATTTATTTGCTTATTACAAGTACAACTCTTATTCTTGGAGTTCTTGAGATTTAGATTTGCCATTGGTGGTTGTAATTTCGTGCCTTACCACTCTTATTAATTAGGATATGCGTAAATATATATGTTTTGTTAAGATTATATTTATTTTCATTATGGCTTATTAATAATATTTATTTTATGCTATTTTATTATCTTTATTGTTGAATTTTTAGTACAATGCCATGACTCATCTTATATTTTATGTTAGTTTCTTGGAAACACCTCATATAGTTATGTCTTACTAGGATTAAGAAAATATTTGGAGCACAAATTATATATTTTGTGCTATGAAAACTATATGAAAAAAAATCCGAAACAACCCGAAAAACCTGAAAAAAACGAAATTAAAAAATCCGACTTTTATTGGTTTGGTTTGGTCTTTAGATTTAATAATCCGACACGATTGATTTGGTTTGATTTGGTAATTAGAAAATCCGAACCAACCTGACCTGTGTACACCCCTAATTGTCATGCTATAACTGTGATGTAATATTTTCTCCCTTTTCAACTATTACTTTACTGTCTCTTTTATCATTATAAATATATTATATAAGTCAAATTAATATCTTAAACTTTATGTCTAGTCAAACAATATCATATAAAATTAAACGAAAGAAGTATTAGATAATAGATAGTATAACTAATTAAACAAGTTGTTGTCAAAATTTGGAAGAGATCCTAGATTGTCTCAAGCCATATTAACATCTCAATGGACAACAGCGAAAAGTCAAAATTAAGTGTCTTCGTTTGATAAGATCCTAGATTTCCTTTGCCAGAAAAACGAAGAGGACCTTCTAATTTCATTTGGACTTGCCTCTTCCCTCAAAAAATACGAAAAGAAGAAATCGATTAGAATATTATAATGTCATTTTTTCACTTTCTTAATATGTATCAGAAATCAAGAATTTAAGTTTATACTCTCTTCGTTCACTGTTACTTGGCACGTTTTGACTTTTTACGCCCCTTACAAAATAATAAATGAATTGTATAATTTACCATGATACCCATATTAATTGATGCATATTTTATTGGATTTGAGAAAATGATTTGAAATGAGTAATAAATAATGTGGGTATAAGTGACAAGTAAAAATAAAAATCTATTTTTAGTATATCTTCCAAGTAAAAGTGGAACGGAGGGAGTAATTAACTATAATTAATACCCCGAGGAAACATTAACTATAACAATTCAAGTGGAATACAAGTTAAAAACATATACTCCTACTTTGATTAAAAGCTTCTCTACATCTCTCGTTTCTCTCTTATTTTGTTCAACTTTATTTTACGATATGTTACCGTCTCTAGAATTCATTTTTCATCAATCGTCTTCTAGTTGTGTATATTAATTTTGTTAGCAGCAGAGCATCTTGGAAACTTCACAGAAAGTTTAGTGCATATAATACAGTAGCATCACAATATAGTCTGTACTCTGTAGCTGGAAAAAATTACTGAATCACAATCTCATTTTAATAAAGAGAATAACTCCAGATAAAAATAAAGGTCTTGTGTCCCTCATGTTCAAAATAGTACTTCTTATACTGCACCATGCTAGTTCATCTTAACTCTATAGTATACATACATGTCTTCTGGACAAAAGAAATAAATACAATGAACATCATCATCTCAGGACAAATGAAAAGGAGTTGAAAGCTTGGATCAAAGCTTTTTCTCTTCCGGTATGGGCAGCATTTTGGTTGCCAAACTGGTACAGTCTCTCTTGTTATAAATAATTACTTAACGGTAAGTGGTTTAATGCTTGGAGTACTGCTGGAGAACGTCAAAGTAGTTGGGGAAGGTTTTGCGAGTACAACCGGGGTCCTTAATGGTGACTGGAACATCAGCACAAGCAGCAAGAGAGAAAGCCATGGCCATTCTATGATCATCATATGTATCAATTTCCGTTACGTTTAACTTTTCAGGTGGGGTGATTATGCAGTAGTCTGGCCCTTCTACAACTGTTGCACCTAACTGGAATTTCATCCAAAATGTCAAGAGTAAGAAAAACAAAATAATTGATGGAATGAAATTTCAAGGACAACTTCTTCAAGACTACACTAGGCTTGTTAGCTGCAAATTCCATGAAACTAGCTAAGAAGTTTACCTTCCTAAGTTCTGTGCATATGGCAATCATCCGCTCAGTTTCCTTAACTCTCCAACTGGCAACTGACCAGAGAAAAGAGGAGTATGTAAGAAGTTTAGCATAATAAAGAAAGAAAGAGGGGAAAAGATTCAGCTGAAATTAAAATTTAAGCCATCTTTATGACCCCATTTCAATCCAACAAAATTCTTTATTCTCGTAAGGTCTTCAAACAGTTTAATATTTAAAGTTGTTTCAGATATCATATACATCAATGAGAAACTATATACACCTACTTCGCACTAGAAAAATCTTCAGACTCCGCAAACACTACTCCTAATTTATCTTCACTTCTTCAGTCAGCTACAAATCAAGTTTTGATTTCTTAGATCTCATATCTAATAAGAATTCAAGTTGTCCTACTTCCTACCATTACTGCCTTGTATAGTCTGTTCGAAACTCTTCATTTCCTTGAACGTACCCAAAGGGTAGCATATCGCATTCCATATTTCACGGAAGCTTTTAAAATTTTGAGTCAAGAAATTCATCAACCTAAATTTAGAATTTAAAAAATAGTAAAAACATGACGATGATGATATTAATGGATGTTTTCTACTTATCAGAAGAAAAAGAAGAAGATATTAAATGATGTTTTCCTTTTCTTTTCCCCATCTGCTTCCCAATAAGCATTTAACCGTCACAAACACCAAATTTTAAGAGGAAAAAGAAAATCTATCTAGCAAAATTCCATGATGCAATCTTAAGTATATCAAAGAGATAACATAACAAAGGACATCTAAGATATATCATAGTTTCTGTATCAACCTGGATATGGTGTAGGATGAGTTAACAGGATAGAAAATTGCCAAAGTTATGTCAATTTTCTTCCCTTCTCCTCAGACCCTCTAAACTACCTAGGGAAACCTCTTTGCACAATTTAGTCAGGTTATCACGGTATTTTAACTCATTATGCAGGGAAATGCTCTCATATTGAAGAATAGTGAGCCAGGTCCAATCAGTTCAGAATTATATCTTAATCAAAACAAAGTGCTTCAATTAGATTTTATCTAGGAAAGAAGGACTAGCCATACCATCTCTTATGGCAGTAGGACCATCAGCAAAAAGTGCAACTACAGCAAGAGTCATGGCAACATCTGGCATTTTGTTCATGTTCACGTCAATGGCACGCAAGAGTTTCATTCCAGAAGAGTTCCTTGGAGGTCCTTTAACTGTGACACTGTTCTCTGTCCATGTAACTTCTGCTCCCATCTTCTCGAGGACCTCAGCAAACTTAACATCCCCCTTCACAAAGGAAACATAAAGATCCAGAGTATTACTTTAGAAAATTAAAAACAATGTATATCATCCTTATGCATTCATTGACTAAGATTTAAGCCACGCGCTGTGCAACTATTACTTTTTAGTACTTGCACGAAATTAATCTTGTGAATAGAAGAAATATACGTAGTATAAAAGAAGAATTGCCCCCCAAGTTCTTAATGGCATGAGCAATACCTGTAAACTGCTTGTTCCACAACCTTCAACGGTGACAGTTCCACCCGTGACAGCTGCACCGGCCAAAAAGTAACTAGCACTTGAGGCATCTCCTTCAACATATGCTTTTCCAGGAGACCTATCATATTTTTGTAATTGTTAGCTTCGTCGGTCCGTGGACCAGATTATGAAAGACATTAACACAATGAAAACAGACTTACTTGTACTTCTGACCTCCTCGAACCAAGAATCTATCCCAGCTACTAGTGTGCTCCACAGAGACACCAAATCGCTCCATCAACTTCAGTGTCATTTCAACATAAGGTACAGAAATTAGTTTGTCAATTATTTCAATCTCCACATCCCCTAGAGCCAGTGGAGCAGCCATCAGCAGAGCAGTCAGGTATTGGCTGCTAATAGATCCAGAGAGCTTTACCTGATAGATATAAAGGAAGTGTAACTTAGCAAGAAATTACAAATGGTAATGTTATATATTTCCAGACTAGGCAAGGAGTTGAGTACTGAACCACAGACGACACATGAATTATGATTCGTCAATATGATGTTAAAAAGATTGCAGAATCAAATGTATCTTTAATTTAGTAGCAGTAGCAAGGAATGTGGAAGAGATAAAGTGGAGGGGGCGAGAGACTTTAGGAGGAAACAAAGCCAAAATAAAGGGGGACCGCAAGTTACTTGAAATTTTTTACACTGCATATCGCACGAAATAGGAATAAAATGAAAGAAAATGAAAATAATTCAAATGGAAAGAAAATGTATTTGTTAAGACACAATTAAATGAAATAAAAGTGTCCGCTCTCTTATAGCTTAAGCTTTTTAGATGAGGCTGTTTACATAACTCAAAATGGTATTGGAACAAGGTTGAGGTTTTGGGTTCAAATCTTACCGTCACTCATTGTCAAAAAATTATCCCATGTGCATGGCCCAAGAAAAAATCAGGTTGTACTTGAGAAAGTGTGTTAAGACAATTTATTTATTTAATAAATAGAAGTGTCCCCTCTCTATCAATTTAAGTTTTTAGATGTGGCAATCCGCATAATTCAAATAAATAAATAAAAAGTGTTCAAACAATATTAATTCATATCACTAAGCTTAAAGACTCTCCTACTTACTTCACGATAGGATACAAATTGGATCTATGTTTGGTATAGGAACACCATAAATATGAGATATGAAATAATAGAAGTCCCCATAAGACACACAGGGAAAAACTGTATCAAAATACAATGGTAACTCATTTTATCCAACTGATGAGAGGCATCTTTAGGTATTTAACTTTTCAAGCAAAGACATCGTTGCTTTTAAAACTTAATTCATTACTTCGATAATACTATTCCTACAGTTTAAGACAATCGTAGCAACAGGCTATGGTTTACTGACATTATACATGTGGACACAACAAAATTATTATCCTCACCTTCCCTCCTGGAAGACCTCCCTTGCTGACTATACGAACTGGGGGACAATTCGTACCAAGGAAACAATCAACCTCTGCACCAAGCTGCTTAAGACCATCAACCAAATCACCAATCGGTCTCTCTCTCATCCTAGGAACTCCATCAAGTACATATCTGTAGACCAAAAAAACAAGCAAGTTCCACTGAAGAAGTATTGAGAAAGATGGTAAAACTCATGACATACAAAAGTATGCATGCATTTCTGAAGCTCACAAAACACCACTTCCAGATTAATAGACCTTGGACGACCTAACTGACATCTAATTACTACCAAGCAGCAATCATTATCTCAACAAAAAAACAGATTAAATTGTTGTGTACATTTCAGAAGCTGTTGTCACCAATACCCAAAGGGCAATTCATGAAGACTATAAAATGGCTTCAAAAGCAACAACCGCCAAAACAAAAAACACAAAGAAACAAACCTCCTCCCNCTACAGTAACTGCTGCTGTCAATGGTCGCATTGCTGTTCCTGCATTTCCAAGGAACAGTTGGATTTCTTGCTCAGAATTTTTGCCAACGGGAAACTGCCCACCACAACCTTCCACAATTGCTCGTTGGTTTCCATTGTCATCTTCTACATAAAGTCCAAGTGTTTTCAATGCACCAAGCATGTAATGAATGTCATCACTACTCAGTAAATTGTCAACAACAGTCCTTCCCTGAAATTCAAGTGCCAGTGACATGTAATGGCAGCACAAGGTTGTTAACAACGAATATCAAGAATATAAATGTCACACAATAGATAAAGAAATGAAATGATCATCTTATGCAGCTTACTACTAGTGTATTATACTGTATCAGTTGTTCAAGACAACTTCAGTTTGGGAAGAGGATTCCCAGTTGATTAGGACGGCCTATACCAAGAGTAACCTGTTGCTTTCAACCCTTTGCTTCCTTCCACACACTTGTAACATCAGTTTTACCATATATATTATTTGTAGTATTTTGAATAACATCATTAACCTCTAACAAACATCTCGTCCAATTCATTTAGAAACAAAAAAACACCTTATCCAATTTATACTTAACCCACCCTAATGCCAAATTGGTAGGGTCAGAAAGGCATTGATGAATGCCAAATAACCACACACAATACCACAAAAGATGAACATTTGGCTCATCAATTTGGTCGACTGATTGACAAAATGCAATAATTTTAGTAAAAATATCAAGCAACAAGTTAGATGTGCAAACATCTTATGTCTTTTAATATCTGAATATAATCAACATTGCAAGTGGCACTTCCCAAAAGGTCAGCTAAATGCCAACATTTTGAAGTATATTTAATCTCAATGCAGATGTCATGGTATTGAAATGAAATCCATGCCCTGTCCTAAACCTTATACAATTACCATATGTCACCTACTTTTATACCGATCAAACACTAGAAAATCATCAAGAAAATAACTTTTCAAGGGAAAGAATTTTCCTCCATCCAAAAGCACTCCTAATGTAAACCAGAATGCCAAATAAAAGACCAAGCACACCATGTACACACTTGCACATTCAATTAACTATACCAAAGAGAAAAAGACCAACTCTTCAAGTCAATTCAGTCCAAACCCCATCAAGGATGTTTTTTTTAAAGGACAAAAGAAATATAAAAAAAAAAGTTGGCAACTTTACCTCAGAAAGGGCAGCAAGAAGGAGAATACGATTGGAAAGGGATTTAGAACCAGGCAATTTAACAGTGCCTGATATATCTTTGATGGGTTGCAGCACAATCTCGTTGGGCTTCTGTGCAGTGGCCACTGATGCAGAAATCCTAAAAGGTGACTTTGCCACCCTCAAAACTGAATCTTTCTTACACACCCACAAAGATTTTGCTGAATTGTGGTTTATTTTCTTTGATCCGAAGAAGAGCGAATGTGAAAAAAGAAGACCCTTTTGGTTTTTAGGAAGATAGGAATTAAGATTAGGGGTCTGTTTCACTTGCCCCATGCTGCTAATCTGTGCCATTGCTGCAAGTTTTTCACTCCTTATTGTGTTCTTAGAAACAAAACTTTGGCTTGTTTTCTCAAAGTTAGAAATTTTCAACTACTATAAGAAAATGGTTATGGTAGGGAAAGTAGGTAGATTGAAGACTGATGGGGTAGGCGGGCCGTGTGCACGTTAGGCTTAAGAAGTCCTACCTCTAAACTCTAATTCAATGTCAGTGTCACTAGCGCTTCACCAACCACCTTTTGTCTCTGAATTTTTTACCTTCAAGCCATCAAAGGGTTGTTGAGGATTACTTTTGTTTTGAGGAGGTAGTTGTGAGTTTCCCATTTGCTCTTTTGGTCATCATATACTATTGACTTAATATACAAATCGGCACATTTATTTGAGTGATCTTGCAAAATGGTCCCTTAATTTTTCAATTTTCTAACCAAGCATCTTTACCTTGTGGCATACCTTTTTTTCATCCTCGTTGACATCAGTTATCTATATTGGGACCCGACTAATTTGAATTCGCGCTAGAAAATTCTATTTTGAAGTATTCCCTACTAATGACAGACTCGAATTTGATATTTTTGATTAAAGATTAATGAGTATTTTTCGCCCCATTACAATCTCTCGGATAGAGCACACCTCTCTTTGCATGGATTAGCCCGATTGGGAATCAAATACAATTGCCGTATAATTATTTCAATAGTATATAGACCTCCTTTTATGAAATTTTGAGTAAGAAATTTATTTTCCATACGCCAAATCAATTTGTTCATTGTCGAAAAATATTTGAAGAGTAGTCAATTTATGTTAATAAAAGTTTGGTTACTCAAATATTCGATGAGGTAATAGTTCCTTTTCTGAGTTGTGTGTATTTTGTGGTAGGTGGTATTTCTTCTTTTTCCTTTTTTTTTTAAAAACTCCCTTGGAGGATGGAAATTGCTTGATAAATCTTGTCTCAGTTAGTAGGTGAGAGTCTTTATGTTTGTATGTTTGAACACCGAAAGCCACAAATGAGCAAACCAAAATGAAATTACATTTTTACCTTTAAAAACCATTTGATTTTTTTTCCTGCTCGAGTTCTATGCTCGAGTCTAATTGTTCTTCAACCAGTTGTAAAAAAATAGTACAAGTCATAGAGCCAATTGGACATATAGCTGTAAGGGTGGCAAAAGTGGCTCAAAACCATTTGACACGCTCAACCCGTCTAGATTTTAATAGGTTGGTCATGAGCTACTTTGGTAATGGATACGCTAAGTTTGGATACAACCCAACTAAACCCATTGAGGGAAAAGAGAGAGAAGAGTGATTCTATCACTTATTTCTCCATGTTTGATTGATGGGCGAAAATTTTTTTCTAAAAAATATTTTCTAATGTTTGGACTTTGTTTAGATAGTCGAAAATATTTTTTAGAAAAAATAATTTTCTATACTACTCTCCTGAACTCCCCTCCACCCAAATTCTCATGTTTCTTGTGCCCCTCCTACACCCCAAAATACCCAACGTTTTCATGACTCTATTTTTTTCTAGAATTCAATCATTCTTTTAAAAATTCACACAAATCCAAAAGAACTAATGTGATGCTTTACTTTTTTACACAAAAATAACGCTGGAATTTGAGCTTCATAATTGAAAAAAAAAACTCTTTTTCTTGTAAAAATAAAACAAAAGTACTCTTTCTACAACATAAAAAGAAAGTACTCATTTTATTGAAATGAAAGAAAAAACTTTTTCTACAATAAGAAAAGATAGTACTATTTTTCTTTAAATAAAAGAAAATATTTTTTCTACAACATGAAAAAAAAGTACTCATTTTGTAAAAAAAAAATACTTTTTCTGCATCATGAAAAGAAAGTACTTATTTTATTAAAATAAAAGAAAATAATTTTTTTACATCATAAAAATAAAATATTAATTTTGTTGAAATGAAAAAGAATATCTCTATCTACAACACGGAAATAAACTACTCTTTGGGGTTGAGGTGGTGGGAGGCGGGTTGGGGTGGGCGAAAAGTTCTGATTTTACTACTTTTTTTATTATTCTGGTCTTCGTTAGCATTATAAGATAAAAAAACTATCAAATAAAGTTCTAAATCTAAATTGAGAAACAAATCATTAGGCATGAATTGACATTTCTTCCAAAATAAGATAAAAAGCAACAGGAAAAAAAAGGAAAAAAAAAAAGAATTTCATCATCATAAATCATTCCAGAATGATATTTACGAAAAATAAAAATAAAAATTAGTATTATATATATGAGAATATTTTATCTACATTGTTTAAAAATTAAGAATATTGCAAGGATTTAGGTCAATTTAGGCGAGTGGGTTACAATCCATTATTTAGTCTATTTTGACCCAAGAGAACTTTGGATAGAATTAGACAATGACCCATTTAATAAGCCAGCCAATCTTAACCCATCCTAAATACAGCCCAACAACCATTTGCCCCCCTCCTCCCCAAAACCAATATAAGCACACAAACTAATCTAGTAAATAACTCAGGCTTTAAACTAAATTGCTAGGTGCAAATCTAATGCAATCATCTAGGAAAAAGCAGCACAGATAATAAACAAATTAATAAAGTTAAACAGGAGGAGGTTTAAAAATGCATTGTATATCTACAGTTTAGAGTTTGAGACTTTTCCATTCTCATCGAAAATGGACTTGGACCGACACATGATATTAAAAAGAAGGGATCTGTACATAAATAGCCGGTCAAATTGTTTACTTTTTTTAACCGGTATACATAGATTATACATTAATAATTATACATGTATTTTATGTTCGCCGGCTATTTTTAGTTTAAATAATTGAGTGACTTCTATTTAGGTTAATTCTTCTAAAAAGAATAGTGATAACGCACATCCCTTCTAGTATTAAGACAATAAGACCTCATTGCAGCAGCTACTACCCCATTTCATTGTAGTTTAAGCTTTATACACTAATGAAGTTATAAATACTGTAATTAATATTTATATAATTAGGTCACTTATTATAAGTAAATTTAGTGGGCGTTGGAACATAAAAACTGTAAAATTCCCCAAAAAATGATTTTAAAAAATAAAATAAAAATGGTATTTGAAAATTAAAGTTCTGTTTGGACATGAACACAACTTTGAGCTATTTTTGAATTTTTTTGAGTGATTTAGAAGTGAAAATTTTGAAAAATATTTTTTTGAGGTTTTAAAATTTCCATGGCCAAATACTGATTTAAGAATAAAATGATTTTTTTGTAATGTCCAAACGGGTACTATCCTGAGGTAAACAACACAGATTGTGTTAAAAATTGATATGATATTTCTATAACTTAATTTTTTTGCAATAATGCTCAAAGTCAGTGGCGGACCCAAGTAGTGGATAGCGGGTTTAACTGAACCCGCTTTACAAAAAATTAATACTGTGTATATGTATAAATTAAGATTAAAATTGTGTAAATTTTGCATAAATATTTTATTTGAACCCACTTGATAACTACTATTTTACTACTAAATTTATATGCTTCTAAGATTGAACTCGCTTGCACAAAATTCTGGGTCCGCCACTGCTCAAAGTTAACACATCTAGCAAAGATCATGAATAACTTTCTGATCTCCCAGAAACTGATCATCTGAAAGTTCCACAGAGTTTTAATATAATTATCCATGGGGTAGACCATATCCAGTATGTCATTGCTATTATGTCAGCCTTCAAGCAATTTTGCCGTGCCCTTCCAACTTTTATTTTATCAAGTCTTGATTTAATGCGAATTAGAGAAACGAGTATCGTGAAAATACGAAAAGAGTAGATGGACATTTTAATAACAGAATATTGAAAACAAGGGATAACACCAAATAATATTAGTGATATATATCCTTATCCATCTGTTCTTATCTGTATTTTGAATGTATTTGGCTCATCCACTCTTTTCACTCTCACTAAAGACTTTTATCTCCATAATATTTTCTGTGCACCTCACATTAAACGAAATCTCATCTCAGTTTCTAAGTTTTGTAATCAAAATCGTACATCTATTGAATTTTCCCCCTCTTTCTTTGTTGTTAAGGAGCTGAACACGGGGGCACCATTGGTTCAAGGCCAGAATAGGAATGATCTGTATGAGTGGCCAACATCAAGATATCAACCACCATCTTCCCTTACTGCCACAACCAAGCCCAGTTATTACTGCTGGCACCAACGACTTGGCCACCCACACTTTAGAGTCCTTCAAGATATTTTAAAGCGTCATTCTCTATCTTGCTTAGGAAATCCTAAATTTCAGTTTTGCAATTCTTGCAATTGTAATAAGAGTCATCGGCTCCCATTTGGTCATATTTCATTGAAGAGCTCTCATCCACTAGAAATTATTTTTACTGATGTCTGGGGTCCATCACCTATTCTTTCTCTTGATAAGAAGTTATACTACATTATCTTTGTTGATCATTATACCAAGTATATGTGGCTCTACTCTTTCAAATTTAAACATGAGGTCACCCCCATTTTCTCCACTTTCAAATCACTTGTTGAAAATCACTTTAACCAAAAGATAAAAACAATATACTCAGATGGAGGGGGCGAGTATGAAGGTCTTCGAACCTTTCTACATACACAAGGCATACAATATTTATTTTTCCCACCATATACACCCCAAAGAGTAGCATTTGCTGAACGACGTCATCGCCACATTATTAAAACCGCTCGTACCTTACTTCACAAAGCATCTCTACCCTCAAATCTATGGACTTTTGCCTGTCACGCTGCAATCTATTTAATAAATCGCCTTCCGACGACCATTCTGCAAATAAGTCTCCTTATCAATGTATTTTTGGCACTCAACCAAACTACCTCACCATTCGCACATTTGGTTCCCTCTGCTACCCATGGCTTAAACCATATGCCAAAAATAAATTGGAACCAAGATCCACCCCCTACGTGTATGTCGGATTCTCCTCCAAGTATTACTGTTATCAATGTTTTGACCCAATTTCTTCCAAAGTTTATTTGTCACGCCATGTCAAATTTTATGAAGATATTTTTCCCTTTCAAAGTATGTTTTCCTCAGTTAAACATAATAAGTCAACCATCTTATCACCACTGAAGCAGTCTCGCTAAGTCAGTCCATTTTAACAGAAGATCATTTTCCTAATCCACCACCCATACCTATAAAAGCCTCACAACAAAATATTGTTCCAGCCATGGTGGATGCTACTCTTACAGATCATTCCTCTCAGCCAAATAACCAGGACTCACGTATTTCAGAATCATCTACTGCAGGTAAGTCTTCTACCTTGTGTTTATCTGATTCTTCCTCCCTCTCCCCTCATACAACATCTCCCTCATC